TTCAGATTGCTAAATATGCTCAGGCATAGCCTTTACTTAATAAAACATTCAGTGACGTTTTATTTGTATCCACTCTTAAATTCCTGCTTCTATTTAGTCTGTCTCCGAGTGTTAAATTCCAGCTGTGGGTTAAATTTGGGCTAAGCTTATATACAGCAATTACCAGTTGAGCTTCAGTTTACCAGCTGTGTAAATAAGGAGTCAAAGAGACTCAGTAAAAGGAAACAGGGGCAGCCAGAATCAGACTATGAGGTTTTGGTTGTCTAAGTGATACCCGAGCATTTGGGGGTGTAGGAATTCAGCTTGACACATGTAAATGGCTAGTTACAAGCACCACATGGAGCAGGATTTTCTAGGAGCTACGTATGTCTTTTTAACTTAGGTGTTATGATATTTCATTGCAAATTCAGAGTACATCCATTGCATTTGGCTGTCCATTCTAAAACCAACTTCGTGTTATGCAAACACCAGCAAGGGGCTGATGATACAAACTCCACACAAATGTACATGCAAGCATCAGCAACAGGACTTAGTTGATGATTACAGTTATGGGCAGGTCGATTCCTACCTAGTCTCACCTAAATCACCATATTCGCTACAGAATTTATGACAATAATTAACTTTAATAAATCACATTTTGGAGCTCGCTTTACTTGTTTGACACAGGGCTAGATTTTTCACTGTACAAAATGCTGACAATTTTTATACCAGCAATTTATACATGCCACAGAAGGAAGAACAGAGCTTTCCTCTGTGTATGTTTCTAAGTGTGTTTTAGAATTTTAGAATTCTAATTCAAATTCAATTGAAAAAATACGTAACTTAGGGAGAAAGAAAGGCAAGGATCCACATGTGCAACACTGGGCATCACAAAACACCCTGCCGAAAAGTAGGGCAGCAATCACTTTCAGGCCCCTTGCAAAACATTTGGTCTGTAACTTAACCATAGTGCTACTGCTTACTAACAACTGAAGAGCTAAAATGTTAGAAACATTACTGAAGCCAAGGGTCTCTATAGCACCAGTCTGAGTGAATACAGACTTGGATCCATAAAAAAGCCATTTCCTAGGCAATGAGGTTAAAAATAATAAGGGTATTTAGCAAACTTTCAAGGAAAGAAAAGAGCCATGAAAGAAAGAGAGCTTGAATTAAAATAGCCAATATACTTCTTTTGTTGCTGTTAAATCTTTCTAGAATAAAGAGTCTAAAACAGATGAGAAAATGAAAAGGAAGCAACACTAGAAAGGAATTAAGGGTATATATTAAATACAGACCTAAAAGCTGAACAAATTCACTTAGCTGTTGAAAAATATGAATAGGAGACAGAAAAAGAACAAGGAATTCTCTTCTAATTCAGTGGAACCAGGAGAAATCCCCCTCTCCTAAAACAGGCAGGTCAGACAAGTACATCTAGAGCAGCAGCTGTTCTGAATGATTATAAATATCAGTTAATCTAAGGAATGGGGAAAGATCCTGAAATACAAGAAAAATGAATGGGGGAGAGGAATTTTCTTGGATTAAGATACAGTAAGCATACAGGAGGAACAGAAATTCCAATCTGCAAGTGTTGTTAAAGCTACAAGTACACCCTAGGGAGAACAATTCACACTAGGCACACGCAGACACAGGGGCTAATGTAAGCAACTATAGCCTTTACCCATCCCTATGAGTGAGGCACTATATTCTGAACTAAGAGAAAAGCCTAGCCGTTCTGTTCTAAAGCTAGAAAATAGAGATGACAGAAGTATATCTGGAGTGAGAATAAAGCAGCAACTCTGAGGGCTATTCAGGCAGCTACAAGAACTACAAATAATTACCGTTAAGAATGAGAGCAGAATCATCTGACTTGCTTCTAAATTGAAGTGGTTTAAGTTTTTAAATTGATACTCCCGCCATGACATAAAAGCCTATGTAAAGTGAGCAACACTCTATTACAAGTGATAAGGAATAAGAAAGGGCAGGAAATTGTCTTGAAAAAAGTTTGACTTTCCTCCCTCTTTTATATCTTGAGAAACAGAGACGCCCCAAATGGTTCTACTCCACCTCTAGTTATGACTAAAATTAATCTTCATATAGCCACAGCTTCAGGTTCATCTCAAATTGCAATGTCTCAGCAAAGCTAGCATTCATCAAGGATGGCTCATTTTGAAGTCTCTTACATCAAAGCTAGGTCAATACAATTTTCAGTAGGGGGCTACATTCCTATTTTCCTAGCCTGCACACTGACTGTCCTTAATTGACAGGTTCTTTATGCATAGAGGGGTATATTTGACACAAAGCAAACACATATGCTATTGGAGCTTTTCTGTAATGACAGCAGGATAAAGGAGGTCTTTGAAGTTCATGGAGGAGTAGGAAGAGGTGTTAATTTAAAAAGCTTGTCCATATACCCAAGAGCAGAAAAACAGCAAAGTACCAATTAATAATTCACACTTCTATGCCACATGTTATCAGAGTATCTCAAAACAGTTTGCTAACATTGATTAAGTCTCACAACATTCCCCTGAAACAGATAAGCATAGATGAGCTCTACTCTGGGGGCATTTTGTGGGGTTGCTCTGTGCCTCATTTTCTCTATCTGTTAAATAGTGATAATTACCCTATCCTACTATAGGGAGTGGTTCAGGAGTTTCCTGTTTGTGAAATTTATGGTTTTTTTTTTTTTTTTGTTTTGTTTTTGTAAAGGGAAAAATAGCACACAAGGGCAATCCTGTATGTCAGACTTCACTCAACTACRCTATGAATTACAGCTGCTACATATCGTGGCTAGGGGGAAGAAAATACTTCATCTTGATTTAATAATACATTACAGGTTGTCACTCTTGCTCTGTTCCTAAGTATCCACAACAACTACATTCTGTATGTATAGGATTCTTGGGTGCTATGTTAACATGAAGCTCATCATAATGACTGTAATTAGATCTGCTGTAGAAAGACTGGTGAGAAAGGAAGGACTGTCCTCAGTAGCCTTTCATTCTCAATTAACACAAAGTGCTTTGTATCCTTGGAAGCGAGGAACAATATATCCATAGGGGCCAACTCAGGAGGAAAGCGTCATTTACATTCAGATGGGAAGCTGAGCACATTATACTGTTTAATCCTTATATTGAAAGACAGATATATAAGCATCACCTACTTGCAGATGGGGAAATGGCAATTGAGGAAAAACTTTGGACTGCCAAAGGATAGACAGAGCCAGAATTTCAATTCAGGAAATTTTTACTCCTAATCTTGTACTTCGGGCCCACTTTTTCTTGTCAACTGCGCCTTTTTTTGTTYGTTTGTTTTAAATATGCCATTATTATTATAGTCCTAATGAAAGAGATTTCCTTTTCTCTTGTTTCAATGTTCTTTTACGAACAGAGTAAGACAGAATTACTTTGCTTAATCATTTTACTAATCTGACTTTTCCAGAGGACCAAAGGTATAGACAAAGTAACAGCTTCATGAAATWCAGCTCTTTTCTTCTCCTGAGCCTGACAGGCACTTCCAAAAGCAGACTGTCATGACAACAAACATCTTGGATGCAATCCAGACAATTAATCTGCAGAGGATGCAGCCATCCCCACTTTGGAAGGGAATACTGACGCTTAAGGCTTTTGGTTTTTTTTAAAAAAAAAAAAAAAAAAGAAACACAACCACACACCAACATGCACACAAAACAAACCCTTACCATACCGTACATGTTAATCTTACTAAGCTGCCTTAGGCCTACAATGAAAAACACCTCAGCCTTCAGCACAGTGGTGACCGCATTGCTGCGGTGGCAGTATACAAGCTTTGGTCCCTCAGAAGTCTTTTCCTCCCATTCGCAATGTTTAAGCAGAGAGCAGGCCAAGCCCTTCCCTTGGAGGCTCTGCCTGAGCAGGGCTGTCCCCAAGATGAGACACAGAGCACAGCAAGCAACTAAGATCACCCATTTCATTTTCAGATATCAACAGATATCATAGGTTCATAGGTTAAGCTGAGAAATTGCCTGGAAGAGAGACTGTCATATACCTCCATGCCATTTTTGTTGGCATTTCTGTTGCATCTTTTCCCTCTTTGCCTAACATCAAGGAGCAAGTTTCGTCAATAATATTTATCACTATTTTAGTTGTCTCATCTTCAATGGACTAAACAATCAGCACTCCTTCAATTTTCCTAATTTCATGTGCTTTCATGCCATGCTCTGTTTGTGCTTCCTGCTCACTATGGACCCAAACAGGCTGCACCACTTCTGCAAATAAAACGCATTTTCCATTTCATCTCTGATCTCTCAACAGTTACTCAGACATAAAAAGGTTTAGCAGATGATGCCCAGTATGTGTATCATCAGCTTTAATTCATATGTATTTCATGTTTTATAGAACAACACTGAATGAAGTTATAGAAAACAAAACCAAGGAGCACCAAATGCAGCTATAGCAGAAGTTAAAAAGAAAAGTGACATAGGTTGTTTTGTGAAATTCTCTCAAAATTGGATATAGATTAACTTAAAAACAGTAAAAAAAAAAATTCTTCCCTATCCTGACCTTTTTATTTAAATACAAAGATGAGGATGAGTAGGAGACTCGTCCTGCAGTGAAACTTACCTTGTAGAAAGGAAACAAGCAACAAAGAGCTAAATTTAATCTAAACAAAGTTACTCATCTAGGAAATGGGCATACTGTTGAACTACTTCAAAATAAAATGTTATTATTGATCCTTCTGGGTCTAAACCATCTCTCACGGAAGCTACTGTCTTAAGCACTTCAGTGAGCACTGGATCACAGACTCAAARTGATTTTGCAAAAGTGCGTTTCAACTAATCTGAAAGAGATGCCAGCAGCTTTCTGAGCCCTCGGACTGAAAGACTCCCACACACCCTGCATGTTTCACTTGTGTTATTTGCAAGATTAGGAAACAGCAGTCCTATCCAATGCAGAGTAAGTCAGAAGAATTATGTTTTCTTCTGAGCCTGTTCCACATTAATTAAAGCTGGTATAATGTTACAGAACAGAATAAAACACCAGTCCTACCTTGAGGGCTTTCACAGCTTTCCTCATCACTGTTGTCTTGACAATTATTTTGACTGTCACACACGAAGCTTTTATCAATGCAAAGACCGTTTTTACAGTGAAATCGGGCAGTAGAGCAAAGCAAGGGATTTGCTGCTGTAAAGACAAAAAGTGAGATCTTTCATTAGAATTTCTCTTACCTCGGCAGTGAAATAGTCTCCAAGCAATCCCTAACAACTGACTACAACTCAACAGTTGGTTAATTCACTGAATATGTGCGAGTAATCAGGCAGATCTGGTCTCTCTCAACCACAGTAAGTGGGAAAGTCTAATTCAGGAAAGATTCATTAGAATTAGGAGAGTCCTAAAGATGAGTCCGCTCATCTTTAACTCAAGACTTCTTGACTTGAGCCCTTATCAGGAGCACTGTTGGGTGCTCAGGATTTGCTCACTTTCAAGACATAAGATATAGCGCTGCCTAACAGCTAAGTCATATTAYGGTAGCCTCAGTTTAGCAAAATTCTCTTATTACAAGCAACAATTCTGGTTGAAAACTGCCATGAATCATAATGAGAAGAGCCCCCAAATGAACTTTGTCGAAAATTCTTGCCCAGCTGCCAATGCAGGACCTGAAATTCCAAGCGAGGTAAGCTCTCTGTCAAGATTGCAGAATTTCTGGAAGCTCTTTACAAACCCTATCCATGATCACGATGCATGCCTTTGCAGGAAGGTAAAGCCACACTGCTAAGCAGGGGTCATCAGACCAGCAGCTGTTCAGTTCCAGCCCTTGCTGGGTGTGCTCCTGCCCCAGGCAGAGTAGGAGCTTTCCTGAGTGCCAATCTAGACACCACGGCTGGGCGGAGGTCCTCTCACTAACAACAACAACACAATCTCAAGCGACCCAATCACTCTTCCCCAAAGGGTTGATATCAACATTCTTCAACTCCTCAGTGTTTGAACTGTACTTCCTTTTGAGGGCAATAAGCACATTGCAGTAATTCCTACAAAATTCTCTYCAAGTAATAGTTTATGTTCTTTCAAATAGTGTTAGGTGATAAGCACACACCGCAAAAGCAGAATAAATTGTCAGCTGACTAATAGAGGTAGTCTTTTACCTCTTCTACATCTTGCACCATATTTACTATTCTGTCCAGTCTCTTTTAAAGCCTCAAGTAGTACAGTTTTCACCCTTTGTCCTAGGAGACTCTTCCACGAGTCTCACTCTCAACATTTCCTTGATATTCATCTCAAGTTTTTTTTTTTCCTCTTTACTAATTTTATCACTCTACTTTTAGCCATACCCCAGCACACATAATTATAAAATCCCTCTCTTTGAACAATGTTTACACTCTTCATATATAGCCTTATCTTCCTACATAGTCATGGCTTAGCTGAGATGTACATAATTTAGCTGTTTCTAATAATGTCTCATAAATCATTCTCTGTCCCTAAGTAATTTTTGTCACTCTTCTCTGAACTTTTGCCAATTCTTGGTAATGAGGTGACCAAATAAATTCAATATTCTAACTGAAAAACTTTAAAATCTGTTTAGATGCCTTGTCTGCTTCAAAGTATTCCTCTGTCACAGTAACAAAGAGGATTACAAGTCCCTAATACTGACTGCATATTTTTAAAGAGGTGCCCTTAAAGAGTAATTAAAAAAAAAAAAAACCCATTTGAAAGCCTGCCATGCATATAACCTGATGTGTTTTCGACCCTGAGAACTGCCATTTGTCAATTCCRCCACCTCAAGGGTATTAAGGTATATTTGTCCAAAAATTTTCCAGTTCCATTTTTTTAAGCATAGGCTAAAGATTGCAAATTATTTCCCTAGCCTTTAATCCTCTTTCTGTAGTTTTCTCTGCTCTGCAGAGGTGCTATGTCTCTGCCACAATCCTCCCAGGACTCAAATCAGACTCTCTAGGCCAACAACACATGACTCTTAAAGGATACTGCTGCTGCCATAGAGACCTCAATATGTGAGAGGAAAGCATATAAACAAGAAAGCTATGTCCTCTTAGAAGCAGACTTTGATATATCACTGTAAAGATCACCTCTTTTGTTATCTTTGAAAGCTGGTGTCTGTTGTTCTCCTCCTGACCTTTAAATGTCATGAAAAGAGAAAAAAAAATAGCCCACTCCAACAACAGCAGGAACAAGCATTTGCTGCAGGCTTCTACCTCCAGAGCCACAGAACATCAGGGCATTTAGCAGCTCTTGCTAATAAGAAGAGTCGCTCAAACATGACCCTTCTTTACTGCTATGATAGATCCTTGCTGTATTCACAGATACAAATGAATCTGTGCAACCACATGCAAAGGTTTGAACCCAAGCGTGGTAGGTGCGCTTTCGGCCCCCTTTCCTCTCCTGGAGGGACACTGGATCAGTAAGGAAGCCAGTGCTTCCCAACACAGGCATTCCGTTATTCCCAGCTGTCAAGCTTGCTGACACAAAGAATATGATGACTGCAATCTCTATTGAAGTAATAACCCTGAGGTTGGTAAAACTGTCTAAAACATACTTGACTACAGCCCTGTTTGTCTTGGATATAAAACTAGACAAYGAATGTGAGCTTGAGCTAAGTTCTGCTTGGAAGCTGCAGGTCTGCAGTGCAGAACTCTCCCCTCGGGCTGGGACACAGCTTCAGGTAGCTCCTCGAGGCTGAGCACCCTCTCCCTTTTGAGTAAGTAATTTGTGTATTTACGTTTCTGGACTTAGCCATCCATTCTYCACAGTGTAGTAGTTCACTCTCATACTGACATGCAAACTTGTTGAGTTTGCAAGAACTTTATGAGAGGAGTGGACAGTTTGCAACAAACAMCTTTTGTTGCAGAGGTTTGATCATGCTTTACAAGTAAAAAAATAACTTGTCGGCTAGGAGATRTGCCAAAAAATCATGCAGTGGATGAGAACCAAATCCATTTGCTTACTTTGTACCCTGGTAGGCRTAAACCATTAAACAAATCTGGGACTAGCATCACATTCAGCTGCACGCAGGTTCCCCTTGGAAGGCGGCTGGAAAAAAAGGGGGTCTGGTCTGAACCTTGTGATTAAACAGGAGAGACTTCTTAAAGCACCTTCAACCTTCAGGACAGAGTGTGTTTCCATAACATTAAGTCAAGTAGTAATTCAAATGATCTTGCAGCGACTTCCCTGCAAGCTGCTGAGCAGCAGTTCAGGCTAGTGCATTTGCAGGCGCTTTTTTGACTTTGCGCACAACCTCCTTTCTCACTCCAAGAGCCTGYATCACCAAATAAACCTTTCTCCTTTTTTTTTTTTTTTTCCTCCTCTCTTTCAGACCATAAACAATAGATGTGGCTAAATGCAGTAATGATCTAAACAGGTCATCCTCTTCAATGACAAGAAAGGACAAATGAATATTAAGCAATTTTAAGTAATATTTTAACATTTACCCAAAGTGCTCATGTATGTGCAGAGGGGCGCTTCAAAGGTTACGAATGGGTCTTAGAAAAATATACAAGCATTATGTACAAAACACAAGGATGAGTTAGATCTTAAAAGAGTTCTTAAGCATCCCCTCTCAGCCTCATCAAACAAAAGCCAGCTCTGTTTCTGTGATGTAAATAAATGTTCAGTGTGATTCTGTCTCTGACAACAGTAAAAGACTGAATTTTGAGACCAATGTGAATTTTGCTTGACAAATGCAAATAACAGAACAGGCTCTGCCTTGCTTTTCTGTAGCTGGTTCAGAAAGGATACAACTTAAAGTCAACCAGAAAAAGAAAATGCTGCGAAAATTCTCCAATCAGAATGCTAAAAAAAAGCAATGAGGAAAAGGAGGAGTATATATTAATTAAAAGGATGTTTGCACATGTGGGTGGGAGATGGACACAACCAAAACAGATGAGGACAGGTAAAGCATTATCTGGGTTATTATTTCCTGCAGCATAGGAATTCTTAAATGCAGTGGCTTGCAAACAAGTTGGGTATCATCCTGACACCACTCCTGAACATTTGTTCTGTTGCAAAGCTGAGCTACTGAACAAACAATCATAAAAATATATCCTATGCCAAATTGCAGCAGGAAGTACCTAGGCAGAAGCCAGGTTGAAGGGAAACATTTGCTTCTTCTGCAACACTAACTTTCAGAAAACACAACTCCTAGGAAGGATAAGCACAAGCTAGTCATTAGTACAAGGTGCCTAAAGAGGTTCTTTTATAAGGAGTACTGAAGTTTCTATTCCTGTTGAGGCAGATTTCTGACCATCTTTAACACTAGGTGCTACTGAGAGATCTTGTTGCTTGCAGAGTGAGATGCATGAGGATTATCTAGGTGACAAGTGGTGAAGATGTTTGATTTGAAACTGAAGGATAAATTTAGTTTCCTCTATATGAAGTATTGCTCAGATTAAAGAAATTTATTCACTCACAAATAAATTGTACTTACTGCAGTTTTCCTCATCGCTGCCATCTGGACAGTCCTCAAAGCCRTTGCACCGGAAGCGGCCAATGATACAGTGGATTCCACTAGCACAAGGGAAAAACGTGGCACCGCATTTAGATTTGGCTTTTGCTAAAAGATAAAAGCAGAGGAGGACAAAGATTAGGAGAAAGGTGTATAAATGCTAAAGATACTTATTCAGCAGTACTAATTAGGGTATTCTAGACAGTGCTGACACCTTGAATATTAAGCTTATTCCAACTGTGCATTCCCAAGTGATACTGCTTTCAACTGCTTCTAGTTTYTTGTAAATTTTCATTTCTTTGGCCTTTTTTTTTCCCTTCCAATTTAAATAATTTCCAGAACGACTGAAACATTTAAAGTCCAATGGCGTCTCAGAACAACTTTAGTCTCCCCAGTCCTTTGGGGTATATACTCACAAACTTGGCAAATAGGTACTTCTAACTGTCCCTTAAAAATCCATGCTTTGGATACTTCCTCCAGAAGCTTTGGAGATAAATTATTAAAACAGAGGCTCATACATCATAGAGAACAAACAGCAACAATAATTCTTTGTAAAGAAAGATAAAGTGCCATCATTCCAACTCCAACTTGAGGAGACAAACTCCAAAACAGAAGGGATTAAGCAGACCCTAACATGACAGACCAGAGGGCCATGGACCTGCTGGTGCCCCTCAACAGGACAGGAATAGGAGCCATAGGTAGTGTCTTTCTGCAGCCCTGCAGCATATGGATAAGTCAATTCAAGCAGCTTTCTAAGGCAAGGGCAGTATCAGGGAAAACAGCAAAAGCAAAGTAAAAGCAGGTAAGTCCAATGGGGATAAGCAGTTTCAGTGTTAATTTGGAAGGAACCYTTTCTTCCAGAGTTCAAAACTAAACATGGCCTTAGCAAGGCCTTCTTCCGTCACTCAGCAGAGCACATACAAACTGTTTTGAACTGCAGCTACAATAAGTAAACTCTTGTTTGATTTAGTATCCTCCAAAACCAAATTCATGCAGTTCCTCTCTTACATGTTTTTCTTTATTCTACTACATGTTTTCTGTTAGGATTATGAAATATAAAATGGGACAGAGGTATCACTGAATTACACATAGCCATATTTTTTTTTCTCAAGAGAATCTAAGGTCCACTCAGGGAAGAAGGGGGGGGGGGCGGGGGGGAGGAGTTTATCTTGTCAAAAAACTGGTGACAATTCATCCTGAAACAACTGCTGTGTTTGAGATCCCTGGCAGTAGAAAACCCACTGCCAAGACCAAGACATCTGAGCCTTTGGAAAGCTTTACACAACTTAAACCAGCAAGTTTTGTGTTAGACCTTTGAGGCAGATTGATTTTAGCTAAATAATTTATAACCTCGAGGCCTGATGCAATTCCATGCTTCAAGCCTTATAACAAAAGAGGCAAAACATGAGGCTTTGGCCACAGTTCCAAGACCATCTTTGAAGTGAGCAGTTTATAGTAGTGTTCAACTAATATCCGATATGCTGAGCAGCCTGCCAAATTGCTGCTGGGAGCATGTGGTAGCGGCACGTATATGTAAAGAGGAGCCCAACGCTACCCCTTTTACCATGTTTTTTCCTAACATCTTTTCCAAAATACGCTGGCATGACATTCTCATCATCTCCAGATATCTTTCTTTTTAGAGATGCATTTACAATGAGAAAAGTTTCAAGAAAAGGAAGAGAAGAAAGGAAATAAGAAAATAAGAAAGAGATTGTGCCTTTATCCCTCAACACTTACTGGATTCCACTTCTATGAATGAGTTTACTTCTGTCACAGTCAAGGGWCTGGAGGCTAGCTGGATTTCGGAGGCTTTAAGTTTCTAGCAAATCAGAGCCAGAGATGTCTTTTTCCATCTCTGAAAATCGACCTACTATCAACTCTCTCTACTTTCTCTTACCTATCTAAAAGCTAACGCTTCAGTACCATTTCCAGCATAAAACCAGCACACAGGAGTGCCAGGAGTTTTAGCGTAATGAGTTTTAATCTAAAATGCAACCACTTCAGAGCACTCATCACAACTAAATACACCCTTGCAATCATCTTGTCTCTGCTCTATCTAGTCGCTTGGATCTCTCTGGTAAAAAGTTCTTGGTAGGAAACTGCTGAAAGAAACTTAGAGAAAGGTGGTCATGTTTTCTACCAATCTAACAAATCTAATTATGGGTGAATTTCTAACAAATTAATCCATAGGAATAGAAATTAATTAACCCATAGGAATAACTGGTAGGAATAGAAATTAATTTCTAACAAATTAATCCATAGTAATCGTAAGAGGTTGCTTGCAACAGAATAACCATCACTCACTCACAGGGGCAATATATTTACAGTTAGAGGGGAAGAACAGCACTAAAATAAATAAATTTAAAAAGCCAATGTAGTCAGCACCAGAAAGATGCAACTGCTTCCTTTGAAAAGGAGAAAAGGAGACAGCACTTTATAGTAGGGGTACTGAGAAGATGATGGCCTTTATTTCTCCTTTGTCAAATTGTAAGGCTTTAAATAATCTTTCATGGTTTAGAAGTCTAAACATCTTTCAAAACTATCACAAAGCAGATGAGATATCAGGTAATAACACGGTGAAAAGCTCCATTTTCAGATATCTTGTGAAAACATTTTCTCATAAAAATGTATCTTAGAAGCCACTCAAAGAAAAACACATGAATAATATCATACAAAAGGACAAATTCTAAATCAGCTGTATAAATTCAATATAATTTCAAAGTTATCAATTAGTCAGGATTCATTCTAGCAGAACTGAATTTTTCCCTAATGTACTTTAGGAGTAGGAAACAACTCTCCTTACATCATATCAGTTTTGCACATTGGTATATGATATCTTTATGTCCTCTTTTGCTACTGATTTTATCAGTAACAGTACAAACAGATTTACTGTTAAGAATGTGTCAGTGCYAAGCTTCCATATGGAAGCTTGATTACAGTGCAAATCAGTACAAACAGATTTACTGTTAAGAATGTGTCAGCGCCAAGCTTCCACATGGGCCTATTTCCTAACCCCCATCTAGAGGAGACCAGCAAGAGGATCGTACCACAATCCTTGAAGTCCTTGTATAAAAAACTATCAAATGCAAGTTTCTATTGCACTTGCCTTTAATCACATGTAGGTTTTTTTTTTTTTAATTGAGCGCCAAAAGAAATATTCGGCACAGTCACTTCATTATAAAATCTACTGTAACTACTCTAAGTGTTCACACACACACACACACACACACACACAGAGAAAACCCAGCAGCTGCCTTAAAGTACCTTCTCAGATGCTCATTTCATGCATTGTTTAATTTTGAGCTTTGTTTAAGAATTCTGATGTTTGTCACCTACCTAAGAAATCTGCTAAAAATTTAATTAAAGTGTATGTTCCAGCGGCTCTGCTGGTCAAATGGCACCCAGATTTTCTCATGCACTGGAGAGGGGAATTTTCAACGAGTGGCTGACAAAGTGTTTTGCCAAAGGTTATCATTAACCTCTCCCAGCTCAGTTTCTCTTCTGACTCTTACTGTAAACTCAAACTCCTGCACGTGCCCCTCTTACTCAGAACTAATGCTATCAAAACCTTAATGTTTGATTACTCACTAGTTGTAAAGGCAAATGCATATCTTAAAGCAGCTAATAAGGGATTTTAGAAGTAATCTTGACTTCACTTTTCATGAGTACTGCAATAGAAGCTGGTTTCTTGAGGCATCTTTACCGTGGCATTAGGAAGAACATATTGCCTGTTAATACCAGTCTTATGCTGAAAACAGATTACAGGCCAGGAGATCGGGATTTTCTTTTGGCTTTGCCAAGGAATTGCTGTCCAGCACCTGGCAATTACCTGACAAGATCTTAGTGTTGCCAGTTCCACTTCTGCAAGATACGTATCACAGGCAAGTAGAAGAATAATTCATAACTATGAAGTACTGCCAGATTGCCAGCGCTTTACTACAATGCAATGGACAGACTTGCAKAAGCTAGCCTGCAAGCAGACTAAGAGAAGCACTGTTTAAATGCCTGACCTGTTGAGATCGATCTTCCAAAATACAGCACAGCCCTTCACTGTTTTTGCAGTCAGGGTTCAGTCCCCTTCTGCGCCTTCACTGATACCAGCTCTTTTGCTCCTGTGAAGCAGTGAGATGGACTTTCAAACTAAGCAATCTGATCAGTCATTTGAGCTTGATTTTTGGTTTTCAAAAGGATTCAGGTGAACAGGATTGATGYCTGTAATGCACTGATGAAGGAGGCAAGGCTGTACAGGCAGCACAGTTCAGACACAACTCTAGCTCTCATGAAAGATTACAGCTACAGAAAGGAGCTAAAAGATTTACTATATTATTAGCAAACTTCTCAACTTTCAAGCTTATGCTCTGCGTGAAATACTAGGAGCTAAGCAGTACTATTACGACATACTGATGACTTGCAGAAGGTTTGGCAATGCTTTTGGTCTCACTTTGAAGATTGCTTTAGGTTTCTTTCCAGGAACTTCAGGACTTTTCTCTAGGTTTTGGGAACCTGGAGATGTACCTGTAAGCTATTTGTTGCTTGATGCTCTAATATACCACCTTCAGTGTTTCAGAATGGTCAGGAGATAACAAGCCGCTGCAAGAAATGCAGAAGACTTTAAAGCACTCAGTATGAGGTGAACTATAGTCTAGAGGCCTTCTGTAGATGTACAGACAGGTACTCTTTAGAGAAAAACTCCTTTTTGCTGCAAATCTTAGGAAGGAATTTGGATTTTTAAAAATGCAGGAAGTTATATACTAGTTTCAAAAAAAAATTCAAAAATTATTACTTGGCTATAATTATACAACTAAAGATTGTTTTTGCAAAGTTTGGTAAGACTGTTTGCATAACAGCTGGAATCCCAGTACATCATAACAGCTACTCAAGGAATATAAATATACAAAATCCACTTTGACTGCAGCTATTTTTATTGACATAGGCCCTCCAGTATGCAAGGTTTGGTAACACACCTATCTCTTTCTTAACCCTAGCATTACTGTTACACTTTTTTTTTCTTTTCAAAAAAGACAAAAATAGTCAAGGGGGGAAAAAAAAGTGAGAAAAAGTGAGAAAAACTGCTTACAGTTTTCATTACAGACTTGTGCCTTCTTCAC